TCGAACTCCCGAGTCAGTTCCAAACTGAAACTGGCCAGGCGATTCGAAAAGTGCATATATGAGGCCCGGAACCGGCCCAGTCAAGGCCCCTTTGACCAAGGGTCGGTTTGGGTTGACTTGGCGCTAGGTCGACCCATGGCCGTGCCTACTTTGATGTAATGGTTTGATTTGATAGTTTATATTTTGGGCACTGGAAGGCTCGCAGGAAAATTTGGCCAAAAAGTCGTCGGTCGGTTGGAAATATTTTCGGTGGTCGCCGAGTGCATCGGGGCTCGATGGTACGTCCGATGGCTCAGTGTTGCTCAATGGTGGTTCCGGTCGATCCGAGTTCAGTGCGCGTGGGCGGCGGGTCGCAACCAGGGGCGGATCAAGAAATTTTATCGAGTGTGGGCCTAAAAGTAATTTTCATTTTTTATAATTGATTTATAAAAAAATAGATTATGATTTTCAAACTCATAAATATAATATTAAGTTCTTATACTCAAAATCTTTTACAAAGTAAAACTATTGTCGAATTTAAGTGTGTGTTATAGCATGAACCTTAGAATATATTATAGAGATAATAATAAATTAGAATCATAATGTGTTACTATATTCACAAAAAGAGATTGGATCGAATTGGATGGAGTTGAAATCAATTAGTTGATCATTTTGGTTTGAACCGGTAAAAAAGGTCAAAACTGGCCAATTGGATGGATCTGATTTTTTTCCTTTTAAAAAATAAGGTTTGATAATGTAAATATATTTTTCAAATAAAGAAAAATAATTATGTAAATATTGAATATCTATAAATTATTATATTGATTAGTTTAGACAATTGAGCATTTTAAATTATCTAAATGTTTAAATAAGATTAATTCTATATAAAAAAAGTTGATTATTCAATGTAATATATAATTATAAATATTAATGAATTAAGTACCAATTCAAGTATTGACTAATGAACTTGTAGCTTGATAAAGTTTGTTTGTTAATTCATAAACAATTTAAACATATTAAAAAATAAAAGTAATAATGAAGTGGATAAGAAAATAAAACCAAATGCACCTAGATGGTTGGAAACAAGTAAAAGTGATATCATCACCTTTTATTTATATTTATTTTCCTTGTATAGTTTTGTTTGCTTAGGACTAATGCATTAAAATTATTTGATTTTACATCCAATGTATATTTTTGACCCAAAATTTGAGTGAGGGCCTTGGCCCCCACTGGACCCAATATGGATCCGCCCTTGGTCGCAGCTCGTGCGCGAGAGCATGGGTGAGTCGTCGTGTGTGCGCGACGGGTTGCCTACGTCGTCGAGGGGCAAACGCGCATGGACGGGCTCAAGTGCGAGGTCGCGGACGACTAGGCGCTGAAAAAGGCATGTCGTGCATTTGCAAGCGACTGATAACAGGCGAACAAGCTAGACGCCTTCTAGCTGAGTTGCGAGACCGCGTTGGTGTGCGAGTGCACTGTCTCTGGGTCGCGAGCAATGTCTAGGAGCCCGAGTTGGTCGACACTGAACTAGACATGCCCTGATCGCGGGCCACGGAAGTATCGCGTCCCAGCAAGCGGGCAGTCATCGGGACGCGACAGGCCAATCGGGGCACGATTTACTAGGAGTTGTGCGGGCTATGTGCGAGTGTCACAGGGTCGCAGGCAAGGCTCACCAGGCTACGCGCGGGAGTCACCGGGTCGCGACCGCACTGGAGTTGAAAACTCGTCCCAAAAGTGATAAAAATTGAGCTAAGTCCCGGAAAATTATCCCGTCTCCTTCTCTAAGTGCCCCGTGTGTGTACTTCCTAGCGGCACTGACAGGTCAGTACTTCTTAGTGGGTCTGCATGAGCATTTTTTATTTATATTTTTTTAATGATAAAAGGAAAAAAAAAATAAGGAAGAACAAAACTGTGGGTTGCCTCCCACGAAACACTCAATTTAATGTCATGAGCTCGACGTCCCCAAGCCAAAATCAACCAAATTCCAAGAAAGAATATCGATCATGCCACGTCTTTGTATTTCCAAGAGTAGTTGAACGGTATAATAGAACAAAGGCGGGCCAAATGAATTCTCGTGGTCGTGTTCCTGTGAAATCGAGCATGAATATCAACAATCACCAAGAGAAGAGCAAAATTCTTTCGATCCAATGCCATATGATCGACCTCCTGGTATACGAAAATATCTATGGAGCACGTTAAATCCATCCCGATCATCATGAGTCTCATCACAGATGTGTTGTTTAACCATCTCAAGAGTCGGGATAATGGGCGTAAAAGCACTAAACTCCTCCAAATGACCACTATCCTCAATAACGAGAAATGACGACTAGAAAGATATGGGAACCACTTCATACTCAACATCTGGATTTGAATCAATCATCAAAAGAAACTTTTGGTCGACGACATTGCATAACGACTCGGAATACTCCTCCATCGGGGAAAATACATCATCAAGTATGGACTAACTCGCCCACACGTCATCGTAAATCAATTCTCTCAATTTCTCCAAAATCAAATTTGCAACTTCTTGCACTAACTCATCCTCCTAAAAATTATCCTCCCGAGCGTGTTCAAGTCCGTTAGGTTCAACGAATTCATGTTCAAAGAAATAAAATTTGAACTCAAGCACAATTACCAGAAGAAATGTTTGGCGTGCTTAGTGTAGAATGCAAGTTCGGATCGTCAATAGAGGATAATTCTTTAACAACCGAATCAATCCACATGAATTTCGATCAAGACGTCATTTTCACTTAAAACACGTAGTAACCAAAAATAGAGCAACTTCGAAATAATAAGTCCTAAACTAGGTACTTACCTTCCTGTCGCATGCACGGACAAAATAAACGCGAAAGCTCGAAACTTTAATAAAAAAAGGCACCACCGGAAATTCAACTATTTAAGCTTCAACCATAAGCAAGAGAGAAAAAAACTAAAAAGATAAAAATAAAAAGAGCCAATTCCCAACTAGAAAGTTCGGAAATGAAGGCTTCGTTCTAAAAAATACAAAGGATTAAGTCTATTTATTGTCACACAACAAAAAACATTAAGAACACACACTTAATGAATATGCACTTGTTGGGTCGCGAAATCCAATTCGCAATGAGTGTTTTTGCTTGACTGGTCGAGGCTCGCACCCTCGCGGACGACAGTTTGCTGCGAGTGTGGCCTAGGCGTGCGCGGCTCGTGTGCTCGCGCGGTCGCAAATGGTGGTTCCCTGATCTACTTATTGTTATTCATCGATCTACTTCTATTTTTATTTCATCATATCTTACTAACACAACTAATATAACTAATTAATCATTCACTTTCCACAAAATTTATGATTCACCAAACTACAAATCACATTTTCTTTAATTACTAACAATTAGCATTCATTATTTAATATTTATACATCAAGTCAAGTTTAATAATCACCTTTATCCAACATCCATTCAAAAACATATTTATTCTTTATACGCTTTCGCTGATCACTTTTTCCTTGAAACATTTTTCCATAAACAATATAAAAATCAATCATATCCTTGGCCCTGTAATAGTACCCAGCAAAGTATGTTAATACCCAATCCCAAATCTTTTAAATTGAACGTTACAATCCCACCTAATATAATCCCATGCCATAAATCCAGCGAAAAAGGATGCCATGCATATAGTTTATTTTACTACCCTTGATTTATAACAAATGA